CAGGGCGAATACAAAGCATTATCATTACATCGGCTAGGGCTTGTTTATCGGGTATATTTGACACAACATATGAATCCAGTCTTTCCTTAACCGATTCTAATGAGAAGTGGTCTGGATAATAGATCCCTTCATTCTCACGTAACAATCTATTCTCCTTTTGAATTTTATTAGCCGAACAAGTTATGTCTGGAATAAATGTAGCCGAGATAATTTTTTTTGAGGCTCCGAGGGCTTTCAGTTCTCTTCGAAGTCTAGTGAGGCGTGATAGGCCAGCGCTGGCATTAGAGGCCATTCCAGATAAGGCCTTGGCTATAACTTTTACCTCTTTTTCGCTAATATTATCTCGGATAATACGCTCGGCCAAATCTCTAATAGTCTCTTTCAGTGAAATTTGACACACATTCACTGTTCCCTTTTCTGGTTCTATTTCCTGAGTGGTATCAGGAGTATTGGAAACGGCTCCTTCTTTTTTCCGACCAGCCGTCTGCTTAGGAATTAATGCAAATACCTGTTTTTCGCTAAAGTTGTATCCTTTCTTGAAACGACGTCGTGCCTGATCCCTCTTAGTTTTATCCGTCAAAAGGATGTCTAACGCCAGTGCGTGTCGACTTAGCTCTTCTATACTCATCTCGTTATTGAGCTCGTTTTCTGTTACATATCTAGTAGCGATGCCAGCCATGTTATTATTTGGTAATATGTAGGATATTTGGTTATACTTAGGTTGTTTGGTATATACTATGCTGAGAAAGTTCAATTCGAAAAAATAAATAATTGTTCTGACATCCATGGTCGGTGAAAACTATCGGATGGTTAGGGAAAGGGAAAAGAATATTATAACTTATGCAGAGGCCACGAGCTCTGGCCGAGATATGTTTTATATATATTTGAAAATTGCGGGTAGATGGGATATGCGATAAAAATACATAGTCATGGAACCCCCATTCCAAGGCTATGAACGAATTGTCTGTATCGATTCACATTTTAGTAAAGTGCACGCGCTAGAGCTAATATATGTTCCGGTCCTAAAACATTTGTCTTGGTGAATGCATCATATAAAGCACTTGGCCTATACTTTGAAGGAGCTAAATTCGGGTGATTGAGGAATTTCATGAGTACGTTATTCCTCCAAGCTTTCGTCTCTTCACGCTCCCAGCATAATTTTAATAGTTGACATAAAGTAAAATCGTGCCAATTAGCTTTGAGTAAAATCTGCAATAGGCTTATTTTTTCGTTAACCACTGCTAGTAAACTTCTTTCCGATACAATGTTCCAGACACGATATGAAATGAAAGAAAGATATCTTCTTAATATCGGCAATTCATGTAAATGCGGGATTAAAAGCCTTTCTTCTTTCCAATGCATATAACCATCACATAATATTTTACGATACGCTGGCCCATTTATAATGATCATGCGATTAGATTTGGGATTGTAGATTTTTTTGTGGGCTTCTGTCGGCTGGTCTAATGTATCCATAGCGTTAGTATAAAAAGATAATTTATCTTATTAAAATACCGATTAATTTAAATACATATTTATTATAAAATTAAAAGTGAAAGAGGGTCTTATATCCTAAAATACTTTCATGGCTCGCTTTACTTGCGCACATATCAAGAAGGATAACACTATTTGTGGAAATAAGTGCTGTGACCCCACCGGGTGTTATAGGCACTGGAAATTGTATGAAAAAAATCAGAAAAAAAAACCCTGCCTTTTTAGTGGTTGTGGATATCATACTGATAATGATTCAGGGTATTGCTCCAGCCACTCTGCTAAGATTTATTCGCACAATTACCAGATGAGGCAGAAACGTAAGTCTGAGGGTCTTCAACCCGAAATCCCTGAAGCTCCAATTTCCGAGTCGTATGATCGTAGTGCTTTGATCCATGAATACTTATTTCCCGTTTCTTCACAACTATTTGCGGATTCGATCCGTGTTGAAGTACTAGGTGATATTGTTGTAATTAGAGGCTCAGCTCCAGAGCCACCCAGAATCTATGAAGCTCCTGTTTCTGAGTCTGATGATGAGGATATGGGTATTGGCCTATTTGGGGATTAGTGGTTAGCTCGGCCCTTAAGGCACTTCGTTAAATTTGGAGCATTAGGAATCATCTCTGAATTATCTGCCGGAAAATAAGCAAAAAATATTATTTCATTTATATCATTAAGTCGAATAGTGCTATTTTTTAGTATATAAATAAAGCGTATCAGGCATATTTCTTGGAAAGGGGGGGCTTCTTCGGAATTATTATATAAAATATTGGAAGAAGCCCCATCTCGATGGTATGTATGATTCGAATCTGTGAAGCTTGGTATTATATTCACACTGCTTTTATAACAGTCTGTCTACGCGATATCAAATAAGTTTTGAATATCTTTCGCAATTAGTATAGTATTCACATTAGAACTGGGAGTATCTTTGGTTTGTTTTCTCTCAAAAATATTTTCCATTAATAATTCATCGGGTGGAAGTTTACTATATCCATACCGAGTATCTTCACCATTTTCCCAATAAATTTCTTTCCCTGTTTGGTATGGTGGTAACTCAGGAGAGTCATTATTATCGAATTATCCAACTAGATGGTAATGTCTGCTATGTTTATCCATAGCCTTAAATTTTAACCCATAAGTTGCGTGTAGTGCCGAATTTAGCAAACCAAGTTTCGCTCGAATTGTTTTTAATCCTGATTTTTTAGCACTACGTGATGCATCTGTATTATCAAATACTCGAGCCATTTTATGTACTAAATCCTGGAGATATGATATCGACTCAGAGGATTCCATGCGTGTTTTAACATCACTAGCTTTATAACGTGTCCTATCGTCAATATCTTTAACGGGTGTACAATTCCTTAATAACTCCAAGCAGATACTATGTCTCTCAGCTCTGCTCACGGTTGTGAGTCTATCCTCTCTGTAATCTTTACGGGTAATAGCCTCAACAGCCGTCTCATTATCAGTGCCAGCATCTCGTAATTGCCTATAAGCTCTAAACCATTTCATATGATTAAAATTTCCATATTTCGAGATGAATTCTTCAGTCAATGATTCGGGTGGGATCTCATAACATTCTACAATATGATGCCTGTCTAAAGAGTGCATCTCTTCTAAAGTCTTCCTTGGTTTATTCTCCAATAATTCGGCAGTCTCACGATCGACAATAGTAGCATTAGATACATCTGCTATCTCCTCTGCTTTAATGGTAGAGGAACATGCCTTCACTGTTTGGGATAATGACATCGTAGTATCTTCAGGTTTAGGAATGAGTTCGATGACAGAAATTACCATACTCGCATTTCGGAGAAAATCAACTATCCTCCAACCAAATAAGTGCTGGGAACGGAATCTTTCCAACATATAGGCCGTCCATAAACGAACAGTTGGTACGTCTTTATTCCTGATGATAGAATCTATATCTGGAAATATTCCTCTATTCTGAAGTTCCCGGGGGAGACATTCCCGTTTGGCATTCAACAACCATTGGAATAAACCTTTCTCTGTGATGGGGACGTTAGAAGATCTCTGCTCAATATGACATATATAATCCTTAATATACCGCATGCGAAATAACATCTGATTCGTCCCGGCATTTGTTTCTATGTAGCTATTAAAAAGACAGAATGCCCGTCTGAACTTAGGATTAGTGCAGGATACTCCTATTTTTAAAGTGCTTGTATAGGCAACTAAGTCTACTTCTTTCCACGACTCTTCCACGTTGCTGAAGTCATGAGCCTTTTCTACCGGATCAGACTTGCCGTGGTATTCCTTGATCCGTAATTCTGGAAAATCAGTCTTGAGAGCACGAACTATTCCTTGCACATCTTTTCTAAGGTGACAGATGAGCGATACGCTTGTCCGATTCTCAAAAGGTAATAAAGACATTTGCTTAGCCCATTCCCAAAGTTCAGCTAATACTGTTTCTTTATTAGGAGCCAAGCGGAATGTCTTACCTTTCTGAGGCTGGTAAGTATTGTGGATAATAGAGAGAGGTATATTCTTTCGAAGGGCCTTAATCCATTCAATGTTAAGGTCAGTTAGGTCATTATCCATTACAATAATGCGCCTCGCGTCTTGGATCAATTTATATAACTTCTCTATCGATTGACCTGCCAGATGACTTTGTGCTTGAGCAATTATAGACACTATTTCATCAAGCCACAAGTCATATTGGATTGGAAGACATTTGCATTTTTTATTACATTTGCAATTATTTGTAATCCGATGTAAGCTTTCTATCTTACACACTACCCTCTTATGATCAGGTAGATTTATATTACCATCGATATCACAATATGATTTGAGATTAAGTCTGGTAGTAACTGCATTCGAATAGGAGTGGCGCGTGGATAATACTAGCAAATTCACGTCATCAGATATAGTAAGATGCTCTAGAACATATGTTTTTCCTGTCTCCCAAGGTGATCCAACATAGATATCGCCTTCATTGGGTAATGGTCTTACATATCTCTCCTCATATATTTCTGTCGCTGTAAGGGTTTCATTATACTTAACCCAGGGTGGCATTTTTACGAAGGCTTTAGGGAAGCCAGGGCCTCTTACCTTGTGAGAGACTTGCGGTGAATTTTTATTTTCTTGCTGAATTTTTTCTGCAATTGATGGGTCGCATTCAAAAACTACCCCCCGCTCGTCACTATTCTGCCGAAAACATTTTACGATGAACCTCCCACTGCTAGCGCATACACGGCCGAACCACCACTGATCCTTGTCATGTATACGTTTACATAGTGGACATTCTAGTAGACCTTTCCAGTTGAAATATACGAAGTTTTCTGAGTCTTTTTCTTCGATAGTCCAATCCCTAAGATAGTTAGAATGCTTTTGCAAAACAAGGTTCGCGCATTTTTGCAATACATCCTGACCCACGATTATTCTTAGTGGATTATTATTTTTTTCTTCACTAAGCATCCGAGGTCTTACTTCAAGTCCCAAACTAGGAGGCGGTTGAACCCTAACGTGATCGAGTTCATTTCAGCCATTATCTAGAGAGAATTGGAGAATGCGTTTCACCCGACCTTTTTTTGCTGAACCAATTAGGCGGAGGTTAAAATTTTGACCAGGCAATATTCTATCAATATATTTGCCGAATTTTTCACCGGTTATGGTATATACTAATTCAGTAAATGCTTTGAGTTCATGATGATCGATAAGGAGAGCCGGTGCGTATAAAATATGGTAGCTACACTTGCTAGGGTCTGATGATGTAGTGATTACTAATCCATTGAGAATATCCTCCCAGCTACAATCAAGAATTCGATACAATGCTCTTATGAAAGATAGGCAGATTCGAAAGAATACTTCTTGCGCCTTAACACCAGTTGTTTCCATATCTTTTTGCGAAGCATCTATGTCAATCACTGCTCTTAAAGGTTTTTGACCATTAATACATTCATGAATCCCAGGTAAGCCATAAACTTCAGAAATGTTTTCGGCAACAGAAAATTTTGGGGCATGATCGGCATCTTGGTCGATTTTTATAACCAATTTATTTTCCACTTCACTTCGGTCATAAGCGTTATATAAACTAGAGCCTTTTTCATTCGGAAAGAGGAATGAATAGATGGGGAGGCAATCCAACGATCCTTTATCATCTGACATATCTCTAGGCGATGATGAGAGGATCCCCCGAATGGCATTTAGCAAATCTTTAGGGAAAATTTACCATTGAAGTTTTCTTGCCTCAGAGTATATGTCACATTAACCTTTCGTTCTTTTACAGCTTCGGTAGTGCTGGTTGAAGCGCAGGAAGCTTCTTCATTATCGGACCCATAATTAGACTCGTAGTTATTATAATCATCTGATCCACAATCAGAATCATTATCATTATAGCTAACTGTATCACTTAAGTATTCATCGGGGCTGGCGCCGTCGTAGCGGAGGGCTGGGGCAGTTCCGGAGCGATCAGTTTGGTCAAAAATAGTTGAAGTATGCATGGTGTTAGTTCGAAAAGTTATACTATCACTATAAATTTCGGAAATGTTTAATTTATTTTTTCCGGAGGATGTAAAAAGAGGCGTATAGCAACCCAGTAAACAAATCGTAAATAAAAGGGAAACGGGTATATACTTTTAGATGGGGGTAACTTCGGAATTATTATATAAAATATTGGAAGAAGCCCCCATCTTCCTAGATATGTACTCGGATATGGTATAGCCTCCGCGTAAGACTTATCTTTCCTAGACATGTACTCGGGTATGATATGAAGGCTTCTTCGGAAATATTGGCACTTGGCTACCCTATCACTAGTATGAATTCGGGTAAGTGGTACGTTTCCTTTGGCTCAAATATAGCTGGAAACACGCCAGAAATACAATATAAATGCGCTTAAATGTTTCGAACTTTGGGACGTGAAATCATCATACTTATGCCGGCAACAAATAGGCAATAGTTGGGTTGCAAGATGACGCACTTTTTAACAATCAAATGGACCGGCCATGGTACTGGCTTCGATCTCTCAAATCATGTGCCTAAAAATCGGCTGGCACATCCCAGTAGTCAAATAACTTAGTCATAGTCCCGGGAAAGTGCCTGGAACTCAAAGCGCAGTAAAGTTTCGTTTAATTTTAGCCAGCACTATTCCACAATTTCGGCCAGATCTTTTGACGTAAATAACTCGGCATTCAAGCTGGCATCTAAGCTGGTCTGAAACTGGTGAATTAATAGAACTACACTAGCTCCTTGCCAGTTTCATGACAGTTCTATGATAGTTCTCTACCAGTTCCACAATAGTTCCAGGACATCATCAAATCACCATCATGATACCAAGCTAGATCCTCGAATCACATGTCCAAAAGATCGGCCAAAATTATGGTATACTGCCAGCCGAAATTAATCTACTATAATCTACTGCGCCACCCGACACGATATTTTTTTTTACCATATTTCGGCATTCTGGCAGGCAACAAAATAGGTAAAGAAGGAAAGCACCCTCGACACTTTAACAGGCAACCAAAGAGGCGCAGAATGGTAGAAACTTCATCATAAAAACTTGGAATCCAAACAATTGCAGACAGGCTGGACCTCCAACATAGAATTCAACAACCAATCAACCATAGAATCCCAATATCATAAATTTTATTAGAAAATGATTATTGACGCATAGAACTAAATAAAAATAGGTATATTTCGATTATTTAGATCATTTAGATTATTTAGTCATAAGTAGGTAACAGTCTAACAATAAGTAGGTAACATTTATTTAAGCTGTTACTTACCTATTGTTAGACTGTTACCTACTTAAATAACCTAATCTAAGCCGTTTATGACTAAATAATATAATTATATTATTTAGTCATAAACGGCTATTTTCATATTGATATGTCTCGATGTACCAATACACATACTTATATATATCAATGTATGGAATATGGATGTGCTGCTAATGCATCATTATCAACACGATCACCTTGTACATTTTCTACTGACTGGGAATGTTTAGTACCTTTGTTAACAGATTCTCAATTTGCGTCTAGTCAACTTACAAACTTAATAGAATTTAATATTTTTGATATTTTTGATTTTGCAAAAAAGAAATATGATATTATACATCAAGCGTTAACGCAAAATCACGTGATTTCTCCACAATTGCAAGATAATATAATTTTGGATTTATTAGATTCTTCAACTTCACGAAATGACTTGTTAACTATACAACGAACATTAGCTCCTTTTGATAATAATAATTATTATATTTTCGAATTTTACACTGATGGATCATTAATAGAATTAGGTACTGAACAATGTAGTATTAGTTGCGCTTTTGCTCAGATTAGTGATTTGTTTGATATACCTCATGTCGAATTTTATTCTACTATTGATAAATGGCCTTTGGCGTATAGAGGAGAATTATTAGCTGTTCTTTTAGCATTAAGCGTTGTTCCAAAAAATAGTAAAGTTAGAATTAACACAGATTCGCTTAACGTGATTACTCAATTTGAAAAATTAAAGAAATCAAAATTTTCTCAAACTTCAAGAGAATACTTCAAGGCTAATAATAATTTCTTATAGGCTATTTTATGTAGAATTATATTAACATTGAACTTGCATGTGGAAATGTTTAAAGTGGTTGCTCATGGTGATGATATGGGTAATAATTATGTAGATAATTTGGCAAAACTTGCGCATACTGATCAGGATCGCTATATAGTTTTTCGACAGAACGCTTGTATGATGAAAGTTCTTCCTTGTTGGAATGGGATTATTATTGAAAATAAGCTGTGCTCTTTTTTGAAGAATATTTGCAACTACAAAGGCTTAGAGAAATTTATTAATCTAAATAGAAATTCTAAATATCGCACGTTAGAAGTTGACTGGACATCCACATTTAGTTGTTTAAATTGTGATATAAATAACAATGAAACTTCTGTTTCTTCTTCTAAAACGAAAGCTCAAAAAGTTCACTTGTTAATTGAAGAAATTCCTACAATTGAACAGATGAAGAAATCCTTGCTTGACTTATATGATGGATGGATGTGCCCTATATGTGGATTACATGACGAAACCTTTA